CTTTGCCCAGGGCTGGCAGCAAAGCGGAGGGGACAGGGCTGTCCCTGGCCCCCTGTGCCACAGCCAAGAACCCCAGCAGGTCCCATCTGGGTGCTGGAGCTGGTGACTAACCCCCCTTCTCCTGCCGCCCCCCCCTTGCCTTCATTGCAGGGAGCATAATGCTGACCAGCATCACCGATGGGCTCCTGTGCTGCCTGACGGGCAAGACAACGAACGCCGTGGGGCCGCTGGACAGCGTTGAGTCCAGCAACGGCTACAGCTTCATGGAGGTGAAGCCGGGGAGGATCCTGAGGGTCAGGCACAGCACACCCAACCGCCCGGCCCCGGAGGGGCCCGAGGAGACCCAGCCTGGGGGACCGGAGCGGGGCACGGTGCACTGCAAGCGCAAGATCACCGTCTACCGCAATGGGCAGCTGGTGATTGAGAACCTGGGGGATGCCGTCCGCTCCGAGATCCTGCACTGCCAGAACAGCTCGGGGGAACCCAACAGCACCGTGGAGCTGGAGCTCTCCGATCCAGCCGGCCAAGCTCCTGCCCAGGGTCCCGCCAGCACGCCGGGATGTGGCACACAGGAAGCAGCCGCTGCCCCCAGCAAGCGTCGGAAGCGTAAACCCAAGAAAGTCATCAACATCGACTGCAAGAAGCAGATCACGAGCTGCAAAGGGACGCACAGTGACGTTGTCCTCTTCTTCATCCATGGCGTGGGTGGCTCGCTGGACATCTGGAAAGAGCAGCTGGACTTCTTTACCAAGCTGGGCTATGAAGTGGTGGCTCCCGACCTGGCTGGCCACGGCTGCAGCTCGGCTCCCCAAATTGCCGCTGCGTACACTTTCTACGCGCTGGCGGAGGACATGAGGGCCGTCTTCAAGTGCTACGCAAAGAAGAGGAATATCTTGATAGGACACTCGTACGGGTAAGGGACACTTGTACGGGTAAGGCACCGGGGGGTCCCAGGAGGGAAGGGATGGATTCATCCCCCCCATCCTCTCCTTGGCAGCAAATGCCCAACAAATCCTGCATTTTGGGGGCTGAGAAGCAGAGGAGGGGTGTGGGGTTTCCTGTTCTAGGTTTATCCCTCACCTTTGATCTCCTACATCCTCTTGGTGTGTGTCCCTGGGTCCAGCTAATCCCAGAGCCTGTCCTCCGCAGGGAAGCCGGCAGAGCACAGCCTATAAATAGACTAAGCCCAAGAAAGTCAATTAGATGGAGACTAAGCAGTACAGAGAGCAGCCCTGGGAGGAGAGGGAGCCGGAGCTGGCCTCCGAGCTGGGTAGGATTAGATCAGGACAACGCTGGTCCAGGTGGGCACCCAAGCAGGTCCCAGCACCCTGCTTTGGTCTGCACAGGAGTGAAACCCTGAGCTCAGGCCCTCTGCCCAGGCTCTGCAGGGCACCGGCTGTGGGGTTTGATGGGGGTTACCCTGCCCCAGAAAGGGGGAGCATGGGTCAAACGAGGGGGTGTAGCCTGGGCTCTGTCCATGGATCCATGGGATCTGTCTTGGGATGCAGCATCCTCCGGTGCCGGAGGGTCAGAGCATGGCTCCCATGTCTCCCTCTCCCCACAGGGTGTCCTTCTGCACCTTCCTCGCCCACGAGTACCCAGACCTGGTCCATAAGGTGATCATGATCAATGGAGGGGGCCCAACGGCGCTGGAGCCCAGCTTCTGCTCCATCTTCAACATGCCCACCTGCGTGCTGCACTGTCTGTCCCCGTGCCTGGCATGGAGCTTCCTCAAGTGAGTGGCCGTCTTGGCACCGCGGCACCAGGGAGGGTTGTCCCTGGCCAACCTGGCTTCCAGCCACCACGGGCAGGGACACCACGTCCTGCCAGCAGCGTCCCCCACGCTCCTGTCCCCCCGGTGCCGAGTCACTGCACTGGGCTAACCCTCTGCCGGTGCCGGCTCCGTCCCGCAGGGCTGGCTTCGCTCGCCAGGGTGCCAAAGAGAAGCAGCTGCTGAAGGAAGGCAATGCCTTCAACGTGTCCTCCTTCGTGCTGCGTGCCATGATGAGCGGGCAGTACTGGCCAGAGGGTGACGAGGTTTACCACGCGGAGCTGGCCGTGCCCGTGCTCCTGGTCCACGGCATGCATGACAAGTTCGTTCCGGTGGAGGAGGACCAGCGCATGG